GCGTCAGAGAATTTTGGTTGCCTGCTCAGGACTATGTGTTAATTCATGCTCAGCTGTGGAAGAGCATTGTAAACACATGCTAAAAGGGGTGTCTTGTCTGTACAGCATTCCAGAGTTAAGAAACTTGATCGGGAATCTGGAATGTCTCAATGTCTTCATGGCCCCGACCGGAATCTTCTTCTGCCTTGCCTTTCCAGGTCTCTGTGATGGTTGCCAGGTGGTCCCTGGTAGCGCGTCTGCCAAAGAAGAACGTGTGTGTCCGCAATGTTGCCCGCCGCGCCGCGCGCGGCGCGAGTGCTGCTGTGGACGCTGTGTTGGAGACAGAACTTGTGTGAGGCAACCTGCCCTCCCTCTGCATCCATTGAGCTCAAAGAAGTGTGTCCCAACGGCTCTTCCTGTGGTGTGGGCGCAAGGATTAATCTTGGCATCATTCGTTGACGGGGTCCGATCATCACTGCAAGGATCCAGCATCGTAAGTCCTTCAGGATTTTCTGGCCCAGGCAAGTGCCAAAAAGTGCGTGCGTCTTGAACTGTAAAATGGATTTGTGGCGGTCCATCTCATCAGGTGTCTAAAAAATAAAGAAAGAACACTTGTGTATTCAAAACCATGCTTACTCTTTACGCAATGCCGTAGGTTATATAGTTAATGCACAAACGAAATCAATGTTAAATATCGAAGATATGAATTGGTAACACCACGGGAATTGGCTATTTAATTCTTCAAATTTATTCTTGAGTACTTGACCATGACAGACGAAAATGGTGGAAGAAACAGTGATATTGGCAGTAAATATCTGTTTCATCAAATATGTGGAAGTTGGAATAATCATTAAATTAACAGCTAGACGCCTTCTTGTTCAGTGCTAAATAGCTAATGTTTACCAGACATTGTAGCGTAGCTTCGTCTACCTCATAAAGATGACAAGACTGCAACCGTGTTGGGTAGACGATGTGTTTTGGGAAAAAATTAATTTAAACGGGCTTATAAGACTGTATTTTTGCTGTTGAATTCTCAAGTTAGCATAGCAATGGTCTGTGTTAGAACAACTTCCTCTGACAAATGCATAATAGGTCAACGGATAATAGGTTGCTTACCTTTTAAATAGTCCGCCGATATGCGGTCCATCAAAGGGAGAGTGAATTTTCGCTGTGCAGCTTCCGTGTTTAAAGAACTAGATACACGGAAAACAGCATGCTGCTCAAGACACAGTGCCCGCATCTAAGTGGATTTTTTTTAGCATTGCCACAGGACTACAGCCAAACGGTACGAGGATGGCTCATTCAGTTGAGGTTAAGCTTGATCACTGTTTCGAATAAAGTATAGTGACTTAAAGTGTGGTCTACCAAATGGTTGAGTAGTACCTTAAAGGGAGCATTTGGCTATTGTCACACTACATTTGAATAATGGTAACAGTAAATTCAAATGTTATCATAATCATATTAACCATATGTAAATATTTTCAATGTTTACATATTTCATAAGTGTATTCTAATATATATTCGGTATCTCTGGGCACTGTGCTGCTTTGTAAAATAAAAATTGGTTTGTTATGATGGACCTGCAGGTGAGTCTGGCATGTTGAAAAATGTTAATGCCCCTTTAACTACAAAACGAATTAGTACATTGTGCCTGTATTCTGCCCAAATCTGGCGCAGATTCATGTTTTTGCGAGTCACTTTGTGAAGCTGATTGTACTGATGCATCAGTGTCCTTCTCCATAGCTGACAAACTGTAATCAACTTGAGCTGTAATCAACTTGCAAAACAGTCCCATGACACTGTTTGCCTCCATTACTTGACATGAGGTCAAGTAACACCAAAACAATCAGTAAATCTCTAAGCCTTGCTGCTGAGCCTCCTCTTAGGTCAAACTGGAGGATTTCTCCCAAAAATGTGCTAAAACAATCCCTGTAGCGGGATGTGATGTATGTTGAGCTGCAGCTTTCTGCTTCTCTTTCTTTTCGAAGTCAGACGTGTATCCACGGCTCCTTGCCGTTTACTGCTTTGTATCATATTGTTTGTGTGCAGTTTGCGCTGATCTTGAGGAGGGATTATCCTAAGCGGTGCTCTCTCTTTCTGAGTCAGCAAACAACAGTTAATCAATTGAAAACAGGGCACAAAAGAGCACTTTGTAAGATGGCTTAGCTCCATGTTTAAAGGCAGCCACCCACCACAGATTCTTTTTCAGGACTTTAGGTCATTTCTCCAGCTACTTTTAAAAGAAGCATTAAAATTCAGAGGTTAGCGACTAGTGATTTACTCTGTGAAAAGACAGAGATGGTACTTTTGCGGGATAGGTCAATCTCTTTGTCATGGATAGTAAGTAAGTAAGTAAAGTTCAACACACTGCCTATTGCATACAGATAGAATAAGTAGTCAAGATGCAGTACCTGGAATGTGTCAAACCAGGGAGCAAAGTGAGGAAATCGCTGTCTGTATAGATATGTAAATAAGTAAACTTTAATATAGCACTTTTCTAAACAGCAGTTCCACAGTTCTCCACAGCTACTTTTAAAAATGCAATCTGATCTTATAACAATCCACAACAAACTGCTCACTGCTTCTATCTGTTGTCAGGCCTATCACTATCAGAAGTACTTCATAGGTACCAGATTTCCTACAGTATTTAGGCCTCATTGAGTACTTAAATTGATCAAGAGAGGGGATGTATCGGGATCTGGCTGGCTAACCCTCTCAGTTAAATAATTTCCTGGGGGACACTATACTATGCCCGAAAGAATACTGTCTGCTCAGTAATCTGGAATCAAAGATTAAGGGGGGTAATCTTTGATCTCCAAGTGAACAGAATCACACAAACATGTTTTCTTGGAACTTTAGCCAAAATCAAGTTCAACAGATCTTGAAAAGTCATCCATGTCCATATCTCTTTGTTGGACTTTTGGAATTTGCTTTATCCAGGGCTCAGACAGAAGGAAATCTCCTCCTTTTAGCTAATCCAAAACACTCTCTGTTGCTGTGCTGTCTTTATTTCTTCCTCAATGTACTTTGATGCCACTTTTATTTTAAAGTGTTAATTAACAGATAATACTGATTCAATTGTATATTTGAAGATTGGTATACATACTCACCAAATATATTGCTTATATCTGGGAACACAATTCACATGCAAACTTCCCTTCCAAGTCTGGCTCCTCACCTGGGACCAATTTGCCTTGGGAGACCCTGCCAGGATCTACTGAGGCAACACAGCTCAAACACCTCCACCATAATAAGTCAGATGGGTCAAGAAACACAAATATCCATAAATCATGCGCTTGCTTACAACCTGTCTGCACACTGCACTGTGGGATTTTGATGTGGTGATGTAACTGTGTTCACAGATCTCAGTAAAATCAAAATGATCAAAATAAGACCTAAGTTGAAATAAACTATAATTATCATTTAAATAATTATTAGTATAATTAAACAAATAATAATCAATTAGCTGCTGCTTTTATTTTAATGATGGCTGAAGGGTTGACGAGCTGAAACAGAGATTGGTAAAAACAAAGTGGAGAACAGTGACAGGGACATCATCCAGGTTGTGTAATACCCTGCATCCTGACTATGTGTGTGTTGACTCTTTGAACAGTGTAGTGCAGTGTATATATACAGTTGCATCTATCTGTCTTTGTCATTGTGTTGAATCAAGGCCTTGAGGTGTAATCCGTCTCCTCTCCTCTTCTTCTCTGTTCGTCCTGACAGAGGGTGACAGAGAGGTGTCCAATGCTAGATGTTTGCTGTTTGTTGCTACATCTTGACCCGTTGCTTTGCCATGTATCCTCTCTTCCTCCACGAAAGCATTTCTGCTGGGATTTGTCTCACCCTGGCTTCTCTTTGTTGTCATTCCGTATCAGTTCTCCCCATGGCATCACTGAGGCCAATGAAGGTGTCTCTGGCTGCTCTCTGCAGTTCTGTTGTGCTTTTCTCGTCACTCCATCCTTTTTTTTTTATCTACTCCTCTCTCAGGATGTCTTTTTTAACGATTGTGGAACACAAGCTGGAACATAAGTGCTTAATTCTAGAAATAGAGGCAGTTTTTCTTATGTCTGATTTTTAATGATTCATCAAGAGTAATTTTTTGGTAGTAGAGAACT